ACAGACAAACGCACAAACACGCACACATTTCTGACACTGTGTCGGACCATTTCTGTGACATTTCCACCCACTTCACTGGTGATTGGCCAGCTGTGTGAATGTGAGAGAGGAACCAGCGTTTCAACTTCTCTCTCAGCTCTCTTTTTTCATTCCTTACGCCACCATTTCTGTGGTGAAACTCTATACATCGTTATTGAGAGACGGTCTGAAAATGTACACTGTCAAATCCATATCTAAATGTGTCCCCCTCTATGACGGCTATGTTTTCACTGTCTGCTACAGAGACGTCTGTAGTGGTGGGACAACACGACGTACAAAGTATAATCTAGCTCGTAGTCTGTGACTGAACGAGGGGCCCAGTTGCCACAGATCCTCACAGAGTGGGTGAGAGTGACGGCTCAGACATGATCTCTCAGCCTCCAGACTGTCCAGTCCCAGTCTGAACACACACTTGGCCTTCTTGACTTAGCTTGTTGATTCTGCTGGTGTCACCAGCCTTTATGCGTCCTCCCCAGCACTCCACAGCCAGAGAAGGAGCGCTGGCAACTACAGACCTCTGAAAATCAGCTGGTTGCACGAGTTGGAGGAACAAGAGGACACCGGTGTTGTTTGACCAGTTTATTGTTGATGTGGACTCCAAAAGTCCACAACTTCTACTTTCTCAATCAGGATGGTGACAGGGGCCGGAGGCTATCTGCTGCCAAGTTTAAACAAGATTAAACTTGTCACAGCTATATATCATACAATGCAATACAGAGCAATACAATAGAACACAATACAATGCAAAACAACTGAACTTAATTCTTCTCTTTCCTTATCTCAAGAAAAGATAGCAGAAGAAGAAGGCGTTGCATTGTTTGACATTCTCCATCTCTGGAGCTGCTGGAGGTATCAGGGAACATGTGACTCTTTGTGTCCCAGTTGGGCTCTGTGGACTAAATGAAGTGGACTTTGCTGAACAGACACATTTGGATTCACAGTGTGTTGGTGTGAGCTGATGTTAGTCTGGAAACAACCTCAGTAACAGAAAGAAAAGCCTCTCAACTTCTCTTCTGCCTTCTCCTCTTTCGCAGCTTTCTCAGGCTTTCTACCTTCAAGTCTAATTTCTAATCCTTTTCCAAGAAGGGATTAGTTTCCCCCATGACCTTAGGACCTGTGATGGTGTTCATTTAATGTTGACCTGCTTGCTGATCCATATAGCAGTGCTCTGTAAGTGAGGGTGAGTATTTTAAAATGGATCCTAAATGCTACAGGGAGCCAGTGGAAAGATCGGAGTACGGGGGTGATGTGAGACCGTCGATTTGTCCTGGTGAGTAATCTGGCGGCAGCGTTTTGGATGACCTGTAAACGGTTAAGAGCAGACACACTGAGTGATGAGTAAAGTGTGTTACAGTAGTCGATGCGTGAAGAGATAAAGGCGTGTACGATCATCTCTAGTTCAGCTGTTGATACTACAGATCTCAGTTTGCTGATATTTCTTACGTGGAAGAAACAGGATCTAGACAGCTGCTTAACATGGGGCTCAAACGACACTGATTGGTCAAATATTACCCCTAGATTACGCAGGTTGAAGTGTGCAGCAGAGGAGAGTGGACAAATACTCTGCCTGATTGTAGGGACAAACTCATCTGGTGCAATAACCAGAACCTCCGTCTTGGTGTCGTTGAGTTGTAAGCAGGTTTCTCCCGTCCAGTCTCTGATGGCATTGACACAGCCTAGTTACTGTGGAAACCTCACTGGGTTTGAATGAAAGATATAAATGATAGGACACATTGTAACTTTTTATAATCCGTCCCAAAGGCAACAAATATAGGGAAAATAACAGAGGCCCCAGAACCGAGCCCTGCGGTACACCACAAGACAGTAGAGAGGTAACAGACACAGAATCACCCACAGAGAACTTCTGTCAGTGAGGTAAGAAGTAAACCAGTCTAGCGCTATGCCAGATATGCCAACCCAGTCACGTAGCCTCTTAATCAAGATGTTATGGTCTGCAGTGTCGAATGCAGAACTGAGGTCCAGAAGTACGTACGAACACAGAGCAGTCACCTGCATCAGAGGACATGAGAATATCATTTGAAACCCTCAGGAGAACATATATATAGCAGGTATAGGATGGGGACAGAGTATTGCTGGGTTGCGTTGTAACACAGGGGGTTCCTCCAACTTTCTTGTTTGTATCTGGGTGCTCTGTAGGTCCTGGGAGTAGCAGTTGTGTGGGCGAGGCTGTTGTTGTTGCGATCAAGAGTAACATCCTTCAATGTTTTAGCGAATGATCTGATCCTACATCATAGCTCTCTGCCAAAGTGAGCTTTTTGAACTCAGTGAAATCCAGCTCCAGGAGGGACAGGCTCTATCTTATCTGTTGGAGGAGCTTGGGGGGTGTTGGAGGGACGGGGCCAGATGGACTGGTTGTTGGCTTCAGGTCTGGCTCCATGATTTCTAGGTCCACTGTGTTATCCTCCTCTCCCTGATCTGATGTTGTGTTGCTGCTCATACTGGGTCGGTCTCTCTCAGACTTTATCTTGGGGAAGAGTTCCTCAAAGGAGTTGAGGCTTGCCTCATTTCCCTGGATAGCACTGTACCTTTTTTAGTATATGAGGTAACAGTGAGCAGAGGGTTGTCTGCGTGGAGGCGTTTGTCCTGACACACAGTTAAGCGGCCACCTCGACCAATGCCTTCTTTGGTAATGTGTGTGTAGTTCTTGCAGATGACCTGCTTCCATTTGCTGATGTTGTCTGTATGAAAGAGGACATTGTTTTTGATTTTTTTGCAGTTGTATATTATGTAGTCAGCAAAACGTTCTATATTGGGCAAGAGCGTTGCCTCTTTGTAGTTCTTCTTGGCTCCAGCACTGCTACAGTTAGCAGGGTATTCTACCGCTCTGCTGTATCTGTTTGGTTCCGTCTCCATGTTTACACACTTTGTCAGGAAGAGTTTCCAAGAGAGTTCTCTCTCTCTCTCTATCTCTCTCTTGGATCTAGAGCAGAAGAATTCCAATAAAGCGTGATCTCCATTGGACAGCTGAAACAGTGATACAATTAAGCGTTTGCACCTGGAGAACCATGAACTGCTTAGTGCTAAAGGCTGATTTTATGAAGCACGCACACACACACAGACACACACACACACACACACACACACACACACACACACACACACACACAAACACACACACACACACACACACACTCCCCTTGTCCCACTGGAATGTCATTTGAAAGGGATTAGAGGTGGGTCAGAGGCACAGGCCAGGTGAGATTACACAGGCCTGTGATTGTGAGCAAGGAACCTCCGTACATAAAGTACTGTGTGTATAGGTGTTTGTGTTAATGTATGAATGTACAGTGTGTGACACATGTGGTGCACTGTTTTATCTGATCCAATAGTGCTTCTACAGGCATACATATAGAGGGCTGACACACCATCTATTAAAGTTGTGTGTTACTATCTAGACATGTAGTCAGTCAGGTTGCACTCGTAATGCTTAAAAAACATCTCTAGAAAGGTGCATTTAGTAGAGATCTCCACCAGGTGTGTCTGCAATGACCACTGCTGTAATATTTGACTGGATAAACACAAACAACAATTGGCTGCCCCTCAGTCTAGACTGGGTTTGTATGAGAAACTTGGTTTGTCCTCCTCATACAACCGCAGAATGGAACACTGGTGCATGTTTCTGTATGAACTGCTTCCTTTTCTATTTTCTCTCCTGTCTCCTGCAACAGTAGCTGCAGCCTCCGTACATTCACTCATGTACGTCTGAAGGTGCTTTTAAAGTTGTTGCATCCTCATCTTGTTATGAGCTACCGATACCATTCATACTGGATCACCAACATGAAGGGTTCAAATACAGGATTAAGGGTCATTTGAGCAAGGAATGAACTTGTCTACCCACTGAATGCAAATTCTTTGATTGACGTAATCTATTGTTTTGTTTTAAGTCTGTCATCTCTTTAGTGTCAAATCCTATGTTTTTAAAGTTGTTTTTATTTTTTATTTTTTCAGGTCCGTTATCTGTGTTTTAATGTGGTTAAACTTTAACGCTGCCATCTTGACCAGGACCCGCTTGTTGAAAGATTCAAAATCTCAATGGGACCAAAATAAAGGTTCAATTAAAACATACCAGTGAAACAGACAGATGTCCCCCCCACTGTGTCTCTGGCTCAGCTGTGTCGTTCCGTTAGCTGTAAGCTGAGGCGATGCTTTGGGCCGGGCTGAGTGAGTGAGGAGTCATCAGGGAGCCGTCAATAACTGACCTTAACAATCAGGCAATAAAATGTGTTTTGAGAACGTGTGAGTCACCACAACCATGAGAGGTCCTGGAGCATGGAGCATTAAATGAGCACCCAGAATATTATGCAGTTTGGTGCAGCAGAATGTGAGATTTGCCGTGGACAGCGGAGATTCAAACGCACCCACACGACCAATCCCACGATCCCCTGGCAGAGATGATAGCAACACGATGCACACGATGCATAAGGAGATCCTCTGAGACATGTATACAAGTGCAATAAGTCCCAGCATGCCTTCCTTCCCACGCCTGGCCCCAGACTGCAGCCTGTTTGTGCTTTTGTCAGCCCATGAACATGCAGCGTGGCTCATTACAAACCTCAAGGCTGATCCCAATCCTAATTGAATGGAATTCCTGGTGTGAAGGCCTAACAGGATTACTAGATAGAGCAGGGCACCCTGCACGGTCAGCCAGGGGATTACACCGGAGCACACACACTTCATACCTTCACACACTTCCTTTACACTGTTGTACACATGTATCAAGACTGGGCGCTTTACTTTATCTTAAGAAATATAGTTGTTGAGCTTTCTAATACTGAGTGAATGTGATATATACTGTATTACTGTATACATACACAAGCACAGGCATAAAGTGGAGCACTCGTTACTGCATTACTGCAGCTATAATGATTCATATGAGCGAGGCAGACAGCTGTCAAAAAGTCTTGATGGAATGTGTTTAAAAGATCCTCCACACACACACATTTAGAAACTAGAGACTTTATTTTGACTGTACACAAGAAGTTTACACCTAGTGCAGACGATAATGAATTTAATAGCTAGAATGTATATATTGCATATATCTGTAATTCAACTCTTCTGACTCAAAAACAACATTTCGGATATCCACGACCTCATTCTTCCTATTGAATAAATGACCTCTGAGGGCCTTACAATCTGTAATACGACATCCTCTGTCCTTAACCCTTCATTGGAGAGTGCTAAAGAAAAGTTTCTTTCAGGTCCAATTCTGTGTCTGGTTGAGATGAGTTTCATTCACTGCACAGTGGAGACAGAAGTTACAACAAAGCTGTAGAGTTCTCTGTGAGCAGAGAGAGTCCTGGCCATGATTACATACAGTTACAGGAAGTAACAGTTCAACTAATGCTGTGGGTTGGCTAAGCTTCTTAAGGCCTGTAGGGGGACGTTGGGACTGGACCTTAGACACAAAAACATGGGAAAATGAAATGAAACCCTTTCAGTTAATGAGAGCAGCTGGGACGGAGATGTTTGAGACTTTAGGTTGTGTAGCCCGAACCCTTGTAGAGCAGGCGTATGTGTGAACGCAGGACTAGAGACTCCCCAATACTGACAACATTCAGAAGTTTACCTAAATATTGAACATTTTTAATGAGGGCCTAAAATAAATGTGACCATGTTCACATGCACTTTGAGCTCCAGCCTTGAATCAAGAGGTGAATCTCTTTTCCTGTGAGCACATCAGCAGTAACAGCCAGTAGTGCATGTAATCAACAGTAACATTAGTTTAGCAAGATACATACAGTGTTTGTGTGTTTTAGTTCCACTTAATGTGTAAATGATCATTTGTTCTTTACACACAAGTGACTTTAGAGAGTTCTTGTCATTCATTTTTGACACAGCTGGATTAAGCTGTTAGGGGTTCTATGGAGGGTAATCTGATTACATGTGTTTTCTCTCCGTGGTTTTGAGCAGTTTGCATTGATGGAGAAAAGACCAACAGGTCAGAAATGTCCTCATTAAATACTTTGATACTGCTGAAGTTCATGTAGATACAAATTGTGGACCAAAGATGAAGAATGATGATGGAAGTGTTGTCATGTCGTTGTGAGTGGTGACGTGAGCCTTCTGATGAAGAGTTTCATCAGCAGCACCAATGTAAGAACTCACAGTGAGCACTCAGCATTTCCCATCAACCCTTCCTTCTGTGCGTATTGGTCCCGGGGGACTCTCACATTTCATGCAGTCGAGCCTCCAGAGGAAGTCGGACTAAATCACTACCCAACATGCATTGCACTCAACAAGAATCGGGGATCCAAACTGCGCAGGTAACTGCACCCCCACACTTTAGGAAGCTTAGCACAACTGCCAAACATGTTTCACCAGAATTACTTCAGGTTCTCCACAATAACACTGTTGTTGACAACATTTCCCCAGCACTGAACTAAAGTATTTAGAGTATTTAGAGTATCATATATTCTGCTTTCCTCTAAATAGTCTTTTCTAAGCAGCAGCAGCAGGAAGCAGGATCTATTTTCTGCTTTTTGAAGTTTCCAAAGACGAACACTTTAAGATGGACGGGTGAAGTCACAGCTCCAGTAGAGCTCATGGAGTCACGTGATGACAGCTCAGACACACAATGACATCAGCAGTGAGACAGAGGGCTGGTGGTACTGAGAGGGGTCTCATTCAGTTTAGTCAACGACCACTTTAATATGAAGACAGCCGCTTTCAGCCAGCGGGACTGTAATCTACATTAGAAATCAATACATACATACTGCAAGGTTCATAATGTTCTTAAAGAATTGTGTTCAGCTCTGCAGCTTCTTCATGACGAGGCTGCTGGGCGGTGCGCTGGTGAATATAGTCCCCACAAAAACATGGCTCCCCCACAGGGAGTGCCGGATCACTCTGCAGCAGCCCAGGTCCTCGATCTGAAAGCCCAGGTGACGGTACCGGTCATCGGTCTCAAACAGCGTGTTGTTGGTGTAGGAGCCGAAGAACTGGGGAGGAACACATGTCCGTCATATAGTTATGTGATCACGTCCGTCATATAGTTATGTGATCACATCCGTCATATAGTTATGTGATCACGTCCGTCATATAGTTATGTGATCACATCATCTCCAGAACAACGTATGCAATTCTGTTCAATGCGTTTACAACGTACCAGCAGCTTTGAATGTTGACTGAGGGTGATAATTCTGAATTCATCTTCTGATCGATAGCCCGCCCCGTTAACCTACACGATGTGGGCCGTGCATGCAGGCTGCTGTGGGTGAAGTTTACCAACGCACACACGGTCATGGACACGTTCACCACATGAACGAGCTTAGCTTTACAGCAGAGTATTGGGATGTGTTCACGTTAGCGCGAGAGAGAGACGAGTGTGACGTCAGCAGTGTCGTCACAGCTGTGAATGGAGCAGACGCGTGTCGACACTTTATTTGAGGCTGAATAAATGCTACAGCTCCTCATTAGCTAACGTCTCTCGTCTGATGATCAAAGAGAAGGTTAGCCTCGAAGATAGCAACAACTCGGGCTTCCTTAAGGTGGACTGACCTTTAAGGTGGACCAGCTATTCTCATTCTAGTGACAAGCTGCTCTTCTGAGTTCTGCTGAGTTTAAAAAGATATAAATGTATTTGTCTTTTGTTTTGTTTCACTGATCAAAATGGTCAAACTGGATATCGTTGTCTAATGGTTAAGTATTAACATCCCTGATGGTGAGAGTATAACACGATGTAAAGAACAACACAGCCTGTATCCTCATCCTACAACGTATCCTGTATCCTTACCCTGATCCTACAGCGCTCTCACAACAGTCCAAGTTCAAATGATTTGAAGTCAAACTGCAGAGCCGGTCTGGCTTTTTTCTTTAGCGGTTCTTATAAATCAATCAAAGTATTGAGCTGGGCGCTCAGCACCAACTCTGAACCGTTCCCATTGTCGAGTCCAGCTCAGACCGCTTCACATGAGTCTCAGGTAATCTCTCCCGGCTCACTGTGCACCTTCTAAACTGAGGCCTACACAACCATGTGAACTTTGAGTGAACCTGAGACGCTTCACCCAATCCAATACTCTGGTTTGCCGTGCCAACTAGTGGTGACAACATGCTGTGCAGCACTATAGTAACTACAGCACAACAGCTCCGAGCTACTCACTCAGGTATTACTGTGGTGAAACAGTCCAACTTGCATAAGCTGGGCCAACACTCTATACTACTGGAAGATGTGTTTAGAACCCGGCCCCGTGAGTAGATCTGCATCTGTTCACATCTGTCCTTTACCTTGCAATGCGGCTGGACTCTCAGCATGTCTCCAGACCATAGTGAGAATCTCAGGACCACATTTCACTCGAAATGTATCGTCAGGCTTCAAATAATGTGTTTGTGTCCAATCAGGAGCCACAGGCAGCTAGGGGCGGGGCTTAGGTGTGTGTGACCACACAGGGAGGAGACTGTTGGTTCTAAACAACAATGGCGGCTTCTGAAGAGGTTAGCGTAGCTGCTGCAATAGCATCCGTTCTACAAACAGGAGAGATCTTTTCCATGAAGATGTTTGCATTCCACCAAACAAGCTACCCAAAGAGATTAGATGAGCAGATTCTGAACTGGATAGAGATTTGATGAAGTGCTATCCCTCATGAAGAGTTCCCTCTACATCAGTGAGTGACAGCGCTATCTTACCGCCAGGCCCGAGGACGGGTCGATGAAGTCGGCCCAGAAGCCCTCCCTCTGCAGAGCGCAGCAGATCTCCTTCGCTCCATCAACAAACTGTAAGCAGAGAAACAGCTTCAGAGACCTTCAGATACCCATGTGTGGCTAAGAGACCAGATGATTCATATCTTCTCCCAGAAATCCAAAAGAAACCTGGTTCTGTCAGATTCATTTGATGCACTTATGTTTAAAATCGTAACAATACAAACTGTTCTACTGAAATCACATCTGTGAGCCCGGTTCTGCCGTTATGGACCGTTGGCTCTACGGTCTAACCCTGCTCCATATCAAAGTGTCTCCAGATAACTTCTGTAGGATTTGACGCTATGTGAATAAATTGAATTGTCTCCTCCAGAGATAAGAGTCCACATGTTTCCTCTCCGTACAGACAGCACGCTCTGCGGGGGTGAGCTGTACTTCTTCAGCTACAGTCGTCTCTGAGTCAAAGTACATCTAGGTCTGTCCAGCATGAACCGACCCGTGCAACATCACTGATAGTTAAATATGCATATTTATTATGTGGTGAGGTCACAATGGAGGGGGGAAATGTCAAAAGTGCAAAAATCCTCATTGAAACACATTCAAGTGGGCTTAAAGGAAAAATCAATGAATTTATAGTTAAATGACAGAATATTTTACTCTACATATATTATTACTATATATAGATGAAGTGAATCTATAGATGGTGCACTGACACAATGTGAACAGTATAGATTGATCATGCAGAGGACTACTGTTAGATTACAAACAATGAGACTTCATACAGAGGAGATCAGGGAAACAACATCACATTATATCAGGTTATATCAGGTTGTTCTGAGATCACAATACAAGTGGAATTTATGGAACAAGCAGCTTCATCAGCACAAAACGATTTGGGTTTTGTTTATATGGTGCGTGGGCTTCATAGTGATATTGACTCTAAACAGACTCCTGTACTCAGTCAGATGGGTTCATCAGACGACTACATCTTGTATTAAACATATCGGTGATATCTGATGTCTCGACATTCATTTCCACAATGAACAACTCGACACCAGCCATCATCTTGCCATCGTTATCTGATGCTGCCACCTGGTGGTCTCTGGTGGTATTACCCACCAGGTGCCCATTCCTCACCTGCAGAGGGCCACATGAGCTCATGGCTTCATCCCAAATCACCACCATGTTGTGACAGCAGATCGTTACTATGAGGACAGAACTGTTTGTAGGAATGTTTCCTCAATGGCTGTCAGCATTACAACTCTGCAGGCCCTCCCTCCTCCTCGGCAGGACTAGGCCGTCCTGCTGCTTGTTGTGGTTGCTGGCCCTTTGTTCTCCATTGTTGCTTCTATCAGTCTGACACCAGGATGTGTAACATTGGCCATCGGCCCCCACCGTTGATCCTTCTGTATAGAGAAAGCTTGTTCACTTTCTCCTTGGTTCTTCCTCACTGAGACTGTACGCATTCTGTTGTGATGATTAAACCTTCTCTGCTCAGAGAATACATATTTAAAAGACAACCTCTGGTTTTCGGTATTCCTTATTTCAGCATTAAAAACCTCACGCAAAGCGGCTATGGAATGTTTCCTCTCAGCCCTGCACTGACACAGCGCAGCGTTTATGGAGCTGTGTGGTTTCAGATCCAGGAAGTCCAGATGGAATAACATTAATGTCTTTAACAGTTTAGCAGTCACCAAAGCACTGCACAGAAGTGGCCGATGCAGTGCCTTGTGGGATGACGTTGCAGCAAAGGTTAAGCCAGGTGCAATGTATTGATTGGATCCAGTGTGTGAAACACGGGGGACAACTTGAATAATATCCAAACAGGCAAAAACTTCATTTCCACAAATCCTTCTAATAAATGCATCTTCATTTTCTATAAACGTGTAGATTATCTCTAAGTCGTCAGTGTGAGCCTCTCTGAGTCCCACAGACTGCAGTGACGACGCTGAACGCCGACGAATAGGAAGCACAAATGAAAGCAGTATATTCTAGTAGAGAAAAGATTTTGTTAATGATTCAGTAAATGCTTTACAACGCTCTGTAGTTACTGGAAATGTTTGGATCACACAAGTCGGTAACAGTCCCATAATTAGACATGCACACATATTGTGGCACCCTTAACATTCATCTTCTAGGTTGTAGGTCTAAACTTGTGAATGAGGTGCAGAACGATTTATTACCTCAGCCAAGGAGTTATGTTGTCGGTTCAGTTGGTTTGTTGGTTTGTCAGCAGGATGACAGAAGAACTACTGGCCCGGTTTTTAAGGAACTTGGTGGAAGGGTGTAGCATGGGCCAAGGAACGAGCCATCATACAGGTATTTAGGGGTGGATCCAAATCATGGGGCATGAACAGGCTTTATGTCTGACTTATGGAGGCCTGGGCTCTCTGATGGCCTTCTAGTTGAGAAGAGCTGTAGATAGACTCGGACTCCACGGTTATTGGACTCAAAGGCTGGAGCAGTTGCAAGAGAGTGTCCCAGTCTGCCTAAACATAGACACCACCCCCCCCCACATACAGCAGCTCACCTTGTCAAGCATCTGATCTCTCTCCTGTCCCACCTCAGCACTCCATGACGTCATATCGTTCTGGGTCTTTTGGGTCACTGTGACCACCATCATACCAGTGGATGGAGCCTCAGGAAACATGGACTGGAAATCTGTTGATGGAACAGAAAAGGAAACGTACACATCAGCCAGAAACAGGAAGCACTGCTCCTCAGCAGTCAGAGCAGCACCTTCTCCTGAAGGTGGAGAGAAAGAGCGTGACCAAGTCACAACCATTCACAACACTGTTAACCAAGGCCACACTGCCTGCTTCTTAAGAACCGGTCCACATTCAGAACACCAACATGGATAATAATTGTGTGAGTTGCTCCAGCGCGGTCTCAGTTCTGTACCTTTCTTTAGGAGTTCAGGGCAGGACTGTATGGCACACTCCAGACTGGAGCTGTCAAAGTACTGCTCAGCTCGACTGACGTTGTGAGACGAGGCTGGCTCATCTTTCTCCTGACAGAAACACACAAACACACTCATAAATGTATAGTAGTTGTTAGTTTTAGATATTAGTTGACTAGATCATTATTATTGGAACTTAATAAACTCTGTTATACTTTAAAGAGCAGCTGTCTGTGATTACTTTGTGCATGTATTGTGATAACAGCTGATATGTGGTCTGTGCTCCTACGCAACACCTTCACTGTTCACTCTGAATGTGTAATAGTACTCAGACTGTTGACATTGTGAGTGAACACTAATTATGAGACTTAGTTTATCGTTTGGTTATTGGTCCCTGTTCTCAGGGTGGTGCCCCGTTATTATTAATAATCGTACTGACATTAATAATTCTATTGATGTCAATAATTTAGTTTTTTTATATGCTGATAACTCAAACACGCTCCTTTTCCTTCCCAACAACGTGACGCACTGTTTTCAGCACAGAGGTGGCTGAGTCTGGAGCTCTGCAGCCGGACTACGAGTGTCAACATTACTGTACTTACAAAGAACTCTCCGATGACCTGGGCCAGAATGAAGTCATGTCTGTCACTGCTGGACGGGGAGGACAGCACGTCAGGGATAGCGTTTGGTGGCAGGCTCTTCTTCTGCTCCGCTAATCCCTCCAGGTGGCAGTCAAATCCCACATTACCGGGCAGCTGGAAGCGCTGGTCCTGGGGTCCAAAAGGGCCCATGCTCTCATCGGGCCACACTGTCCAGAGTCCATAAGAAGAACGTTATTCACAGGTCAAATAAACAGGTAAAATGATGTTCTTACAGGCTTGGTCTATACAAACATCAGTGGCTCAGAGGAAGAGGCTGCACAGCTATTTAACCATCTTGCTGCCTTTGATGCCCTTTGAAAGCTTTGTGTCGACTGCCACACATTAGGATCTTTAGCAGGCTCTCATTTTATATTGTATCATCAGCTCCAGCTACTTCATGTTGAAAAGCAAACACCCTACCCATGTCAGAGGGAGTGATGGCTATGCGGGGCTCATCAGAGCCCGATGATCCAGCAGTAGAGGAGGCTCTGGCTCCGGCCACACGATGCACCAACACATGCAGCCCTGGGAGGTAACTGACCAGCCTGGCTCTGCTGCACAGCACCTGTTGATTTAACTGTATGATCATTTTGGATAATGGAGTTCATAAAGAGCGGCGTTTCTTTTATTCAGCCTACACTCATATGTATGTACACATACTGCACATGCAACCGCTTCAAATAAGGCTCTGTTTCCACGTTAACAGATTTATTTATTTTAAAGGATATTGTCCAACATTGTGGTTAAAGGAGGACCTGCTCTACCCTGAGCTACAGCCGTCCTCTCCGAGAGTATTCAGAGAACTACAGCGGCCTTCAAGCAACGTAAAAACACAGAGGTCTCTCTCTAGAGTCTGTGTTCAGTTTGTCCCTTCTGGGCTGCTGTAGAAACATGGCGGTGCAACATGGAGGACTCTGTGAAGAAGACCGGCTCCCTGTGTAGATATGAAGAGCTCTTCAGATATAAACTAGACACTTTAGTAACACAGACTTGGTTTAACATACTCTTAATTAACGGAAACACAATGATTCTTAGTCTCAGGTGTTTATACACCACTGAAACTTAGTTATGAATATTATCTACAACTTCTGCCAATAAATCATCCTAAATCCTACACACTGTTCCCCCAACATCTCCAGCTGCACATCTATGGTGTGCACTGTGCATGCATGTTAAATAACAGGGAGATAACAAACGGAATGTCCCCCAGGGACTACTGCACTAACTCTCTCTCTCTCACACACACACACACACGTGTTGACTTACACTGGCCATCCTGGTGGGCCTGTTTTCCTGCAGTGTCCACTTATGTTTCTGTGAGAGGAGAGAGGTGAAGCAGTCAGGAACTAGCTCCACACACACACCAGCAACATGAAAACCTAACCCAGAGGGAGAACTGTGTATCCTACAAGATGTGACAGAACTAAACCAAGTACGCTATGATCCATACTTCTATCATTCGGTCACATACTGTCCGAGACAGAGAGCTGTAAGCAAACCTTGTGCAGTCATTTAGATAGGGCCACTTTACAGTCACTCAACCTGATGAGTCACGGAACACACCGGCGATTAAAGTCACCTACAGGCTAACAACAGAGCAAGAACCCGAACTTACCTAACAGTTGAAAGTAGAAGCCAGCCTTACTTAGCGGCCATTGGCGGTGTAGGACAGACCACCCCAATACAAAGACGCTGGAGTTGTACCTGCTAGCGTTACGTGATACTTTCTATTACTCGTGCAGATGTTTAGAAAGACCGAAGTCACGTAAGACTAGTTATCATAACAGTCGCAGCTAAGTTCATCCCATAGGTTCATTCACGCTAGCTTCACCTTGAATTCGCGCATGCGCTGTTGTGATGGAGGCTCGACTCTTTTTTTGTGTGAATTCGATGAATGGCGCTTGCAAACAACTATCATACGCATTACCGCCACCTACTGACCGGAGTGTGGATGTGTATGGCTGTGCTGGTTACATGTTCTGATAGATATCCGAATCTGCTTAATGTGTCCAAGTATGAATGCACATACAAGTCATTTGACTCTGTTCTTTTCATCCCTCACAATGTAATTACACAGAAAGAGAAACAACAGCAGGTTGAACTTCCAGGGCTGGAGCAGGAAGGACATCCTCTTCTGGGCCTATACAAGAGGGAAGGGTCAGTACGTCACTGAACTCATATTAAGTATTCTTAATGAATGTGATTGTAATAGAGCATCTTTGTCATCAATAGCGAACCAACTATCAAACTGTTAATGATATTTCATAATATTCAGGAGGGCTAATGTTAACCAGCAATCTCTATTTTTGTCCGGGGGTGGTTGTTATGACTTAGTGCAGGGGTCATCTTCACTCTGGGCCACATCAGCATCACGGTCGCCCTCAAAGGTAAATGTAAGACGGTGTAAATGTAACTACTCCTAACATATTGGTAAATAACTGTCTCTGCATTTGATTATTGTTTATTCAAGTGTTAAAATATTGTACATGCAGTTATATAAATGTAAAAATATATTTAAGCACATTTCTGTTATTATAACTTAAATCCTTTTAATTTAGGGTTAAGAAACCCACATTACTCTATCAAACTATTAAAGAAAATAGCAAAGACAAGTTATTACAATAACTTTGTTCAAAGCTTAAAATCCTTTCAAGGGTGCATTTGCACAATCCCACGTGAAGTATTTCATGTGTTGTAAAGACTTACAGAGAGAAAGACTGTAAAGAAGTTTAAAGGACTTTGCGGGAGCGTTCCCTGAAAGTTCGTGAGTGTTGAGATTGTGATTGGATGGTCGTTGCAGCTGGGCGGCTTGTTCGGCTCACCCGGAGCTTGCCACGGCCCCACAAAGTGGCATCACATGTGGTTGTATCGGAGTAGTTTTACGACTTACTGGAGATATTTGTTGAAATTCTGTCTACCACCAAAGCTTTGTTCGAAAAATATTTTCTTATGTTGAGATGAATAGTTTATGGAAAATGTGAGTGCTTCATCATCTAGTCCAGCACAAGATGTGTTGCCTTCTTGGAAGACAACGAGCAGTAAAAGATTGAGTTGCTCCTCCATTGACAGTGTGTTAGTCGGCCTACCACCAGTAACTGGGTGTAAATGCTCATGACGTATTGATGGTTCTCTGGTAACTCATCACACACTGTGAGAGATGAACCTCTTGGATCTGAATGACGCCATGACGCTCCGCTCAGACTTCACCTTTTGTTTTTCCACTCTGTGTCACATTTAGATTTGTGGAGCTGTAAAGGAGATCAGTACGCTTTAGTGTAATGGAGGTTCGTTTTGAAGGACAGAGACTATGGAACCCATTCCTACCAGCAAGAGAAAGAAGACTGATGAAAAGTGAAGGATGAGAACTAGAAGAGGCTATACTGGGTTAACAATATGAAACAAAATCATAATGAGATAACATGTCAAATGCTTTCCCTTTTAAGTCAAACTATGACAGTAATTCAGAGGTGTGACTATTCAAACGTGTCATTCCCAACACTGACCTTTAATGTATCTTCATATTAATCATCCGTTCTGCTTTGAATGGCTCCGTATTGAAGCAAAGTCACAGAAAATTCAAATGAATGAAGTGAGCAGCTCTGAGCCCATTAGCTACATCAAGTGATGTTGTGTTCAGTTTGAGTTTTCCCTCCGATATCCGACCAGCTGTGGACTAAATTCAAAAGGGCCGACCGACAGGGAGTTTATGTGAAAGTCCTGAGGGTGTTCTGTGACGCTGTACAGCAGCCCTCCAACCGTATATGGAGTCATGTTCGGATGGATCCAGTCTCAGTGAAGAAAACACTCCTCCTGTGGTTGATTCAGCATAAAGATCATTTAATGAGCAGAGAAGAGAAAGTATGACACGTTTAAAACATGTCCAGTATCGGCCTAAAACAGGAGGACAGGAAGTGTGCCAGTGTCACTAATAATACCCAGACTATCACCGAGGCAACTGCTTTATCTTCAGCTTGTGTTTGTGCAGCTGTGACCCCTGAAGGGAGGAGCATCCACAGCTTTCTAAGGAAGTGTGTGACATGAAACCCAACAGTGACACAAGTGACCGTGAGGCTGTCAGCGTCTACATACTGGTGTCCTCCACATATACGTGTTAGAAAGCAGTGCCTCGCCCATGAAATCACTAAATATTCCCGTCTAATTCTCAGCAGGACAGCAAATAAATGAACTTTTCATATCATATTAATATATTACAGATATGATTTTCTAATTCCATCGATCACAGGAGACAGACGACGGATGAGGAGCAGCTCATGTTGCAGCTGTAGTAGGTGAGTCCTCACAGAAGAAGGCCTGCAGAGCCTTCCCCCTGGAGGCGTACTGGATGCTCTCTATCTCACCGCCGAAGTTCCTGGGCTTCTGAAAGTGGATCTCCAGGTGGTCCTGCAGGTCCTCCTCGTCCCCCTTGTCCTCGATGTCTTTCAGGAGGATGGTACGCTTTGGAGCGCCACAGAAGGTCTGAAATGAATCGTCAGCAGATGGTTATTGATGACACCACTGGTATGAACACCACTGGTTGATCGATACTAAAAGGATCCCGTTTTTGATGCCAACCTCTGATAATACAGGTGGTTCAGAACACTTCAGTGTCTGTCACTGGGTCACAAACTGTTTCTCTGGGGAGACAAACCGCAGTGACCCCCCAACAGGCCTCATCTCTGAATCATGAGGAGCCTTTGTGCAGAAATGAGCGTTCCTGACCACTTTCACTGACCGTATGTTATTTTGAATAGGTAAACCCAGTGTGCGAAATATGGGGGTTCTCGGGGGTCTAAGACCCCTTGATTGACCCTTCAGACCCCCTGAATGCCTCAATAGCAAAACAAAATGTCTTATAATCTTACTAAGAGCCTGGATTAAAACAGGACATCGTCTCTGCTCTTCTTGGAGTTGTTTTGTGAACATGCTCTCTATCTGTGGAGGGCTGTGGAGGTCTGTGGAGGGCTGTGGAGGTCTGTGTAGGGCTGTGGAGGGCTGTGGAGGTCTGTGGAGGGCTGTGGAGGGCTGTGGAGGTCTGTGTAGGGCTGTGGAGGGCTGTGGAGGTCTGTGGAGGGCTGTGGAGGTCTGTGGAGGGCTGTGGAGGTCTGTGGAGGTCTGTGGAGGGCTGTGGAGGGCTGTGGAGGGCTGTGGAGGGCTCAAGCGTGTGCATGTGTGTGGGCTTATGTTAAATACTTTTTGTAATTACATTGAGGAGGAGTTAACAGACATCTCGTTCTCTTCATGGCTCTCATCAGTTGAACGTACTCTCTCCTGTCATAATGGACTCACTGTTATAAGAAGACTGCAGCTATCAGAACCACATGTGGCTCTAAGGTGAACTGCAGATATTAATGTTGAACAAAAGACGATGGAAGAAATCCTGCTTATTTATATGGCGACCCTGTTAATATCTCTCCCGACCCACCGGTGGGTCCCGACCCAGCCTCTGGGAATCACTTGTGTATTTCATAACTAGTGCTGGGCAAGTTAACGCGTTATTATCGTGTTAACGCATTCATTCATTAACGCCAACAATTTTGAGGAGTTTTGTTTTTATTATTAAGTGGACATTTTTAACACAAGAACCGGCCGGCCGACCCAGGCGGCAGTGAGCGGTGAACAGCTGTTTCTGTGGCGTCTCTTCCGTCTCTTCCCGTTTCCTTCACCTACATTCCCCTGGGTCCTAAGTCCCTCCATGTACAGCTTCTTATCACCCTCTATGTACCAACGTACATTTATAACAAATACCACACATTACGTATTAATGTATTAACATATTACGGTAATCAGCGTTGCATATGTGTCTGACCAATATACCAAAAAAAGCAAAAAAGAAATGATTCATTTAAATTATTGTTTTAGAGTTTTTAAAGTGTTTTATTTGTAATATGTATAATAAGCATCATTTAGTATCACTACTGAGAATTTAACAAACATAAAAACATGACGTAGATAGGTTTCAGTTTTCAAGGTGTATATTTCAAATTGCATCTCTTGCACACATGAAGATAAAGTTATGAACACTGGCTGAATATCTATGATCAGAATCATTATAACTGTGTTATAACTGCTGCTATGTAAAGAGAATACTGCTGTTAACAAGAATGTGTTTAAAGTGTTTAAACCAAATGTTATTGACCTGTTGTTCATATAGCAGCACTTTAAAATAAAAGTGCACAATACACTACTTTTGAATTCATTATTGAATTTTGCGAATAACAATGAGATTAATCGCGATTAAAAATTGTAATCGTTGCCCAGCACTAATTATAACATTAATGTACAACAAGTTAACATTAAACACATGATGGTAAACATAGAGACTCTAGCTGTGTGATGTAAAGCACGACTCCAACATCTCACCTGGAACTTGCACAGCTGGTATTTGTAAACATGTCCAACCTGCACGTTCACTTCAGAGTCCAGATCCACACGGTACCTCCCACTCAGGGCCAGGCCCTCAGCAACTACGCACGCACGCACGCACACACACACACACACACACACACACACACACACACACACACACACAC